TGGCATATGCATCACACTAAAGAAAATACCTGAACCCCTGATATTACAAATCTGTTTAAATCCTTTGAGCAAACCTTTGATTTATTCCAACTCGCCTTCCTTTTTTTTGCTTGGGTATCCATTGTGATTCTCATGCGATTGTGAAGCTCAATGCTTTCCTAATTTAAGATTCTCTCTGATGCAAATTATTTACAAGTTATTGACCATAGGAACTCAGACCGTGCTGTGTGCAGGAAGACTGCTTTTATACACTTGTAAATGTTTGTTCTAGTTGTGTGAGTAACATGCATGCTAGTGAACTGAAAATCTAATTGAACTGGAAATTAATGAAATTACTACTTTCTCTTTTCCTAACTTTATAATAAACCACACTTTTAATTTCCTAGCATTCTAGAAGCATTGCTTTCTAAAACCTGTTTTAAATATTGTTGTGCAGAAACCAAATGTAGCTCATGATGCAGGTCAATATCTTTCCAAACAGATTCAACTGCATGAATGAATTGTGTTAAACTGTGGACTAATAATAGCTGGCTGTTGGGACTTCCCTTCAGTGGTGCTCTGGACGAAGGAAGTAAATCTGATTTGAAATATTTTATATCAATCCTCGGTCAGAGTGGAATGCAGTTGACTTGCATGGCTGACTGAATTGCCGCTACTTGTGTTGAGTGCTAATCATCTTTATGCCTTTTTCAATTAAAATATATTTTGGAGTGAATCTTATGTGATGTTTTCACTATCTACAACAGTGGCCATGTGGTAGACAAGTCATTTTCAGAGTTCTAGTAAAAGTATAGAACCTATCAGTTGATAAACATGATGATTCTTACTGGCTCAATTTACTTCTGAGATTCTTGTCCAGTGTTGCACCAGCTATTTGCCCTCTTTATACTGAGTTCAGTTTCCCAGTAGGATTCCTGAGTATAGTCTGTGTAATACTGACCCATTTATTTAATTTTTGTGACTCTGTTGCTTTCAGGTCTGTGTACATCATATGTCTCTTCCTACTATGGTGATAGCACTTTTTTTTTGTATTCCAAAGCCTCCTTTCACGACCAATCAGCTTGGCGTGTAATCTTCCAAATTGGACCTTGTAACAACTATGAATGGCTAACAATTGAAGGGGATGTTGAGAGTACAGAATCAAAAGTTGGCACTTTATCAGCAAAACATAGGTTTCTATTGATATTAGATTTGTATGGATTACGGAAATATGGATTTTAATGTGGTTGTGTTAATGGTTGGAATATGAGGGAAGTACAACAAAATTTATAAAACGTGGAAGCTGCTTTGTAATTGAGTCAGTGGTTATTAAATGATTGCCAGAGTGATAAATATGATTGTGATGTTTTAATATTTTGTGAAGCAGGTCTGATTTCTGATTAAGTTTGAACTATTTTTCTCTCAAAAAGAAAACAAGTGAACGCATAAAGGGGCCATCTATTGTGAAACAATGCAACTAAACTTTGATTATGCAAAAAAAAAACTGTTCTGCATGGAAAGAAAATTTGTATCCTGCAGGTAGAATTAAGCATCACGTTTGAAATTTTGATGAATGTTTGTGGTCCTATAGGCAGTCGCTGAAATAACAAAACCAACTATAGAATTTCACTGGGAGATTGATACCTACTTTATTGTTAAAACCTCAGTTTCAAAGTGTCGTGTCTAAGATTTGTTACTGAACTCTTTCTTTCTCTAACTTGTTTGATTTCACAGGCATCATGCATCTATGATATGAAATATACGATTATATACCTAGCAACATTTCACAATGTTTTGTGACATCCTGAACTTGTGAAAGGTGTTTTTATAAATGCAACTTTGTTCTAATTAAATTGAAACAGAGCCACTTCAATATTTGCTGAAATCAATATTAAAAGATGAATATAATGTGCCAATTTGCTATCCAGTGTGCTTAGGGAAATTTCTAGGTTTGTGGCGTAGAAGGCAGAAAATTCTGGAAATATTTAGGAGGTCAGG